GATAGATAGATAGACAGACAGACTGATAGATGGATAGATAGATAGACAGACAGACTGATAGATGGATAGATAGATAGACAGACAGACTGATAGATAGATAGATAGATAGATAGATAGATAGATAGATAGATAGATAGATAGATAGACAGAAAGACAGACAGACAGACAGATAGATGGATAGATAGATAGATAGATAGATAGATAGATAGATAGATAGCATTGCATAGTTAAAATACTGTACCTAAACTGAAGAAGACCTTAACTTTTCGAATTAACTCATAAAAAGAATAGATTTACAATAGATTGACGATGACAGCAGAGAAATATTTTATTTAACAATATTTAAATCAAGTAAATGTCATTGAATGGATGTGAACAAGTTGTGCTGTTATCACATGCAGCCCCTTCACAACAGCGCCCTCTAGCCGGATGTTTGTTCTCCAACCCCGCCCCACCTAAGTCCCGCCTCGAATCCAAAAGGAGCGCACACTTTAGAACACCGGCCAACAACGGTGGGCGGAGTTAGACCTTTCTGAGGCCGACGGACCGCCTGGCAGCAGAAGCCCCGCCTCGCCGGACCGTGTCGGTACACATCGGTGGCGCTCGTCCCTCCAGCGATGACTACGTAAATTGTTTCCATGCCTCGTGCCTCAGCGGAGCTGTCAATCACAGCCATGATGAAGGAGTGAGTGATGCAGCAGAGCAGCAGAGGGGACGAGAGGAGCCCGAGCAGAGACTGCAGGTACTCGGGGCTTCAGTCCGACCTGCGGCCCGTCGAGTGTGCGCACTGAGGGTGACGCCGCTCGGTGCACTGTCATGTCTCCGTGTACGAGCGGAGCCGCTGCAGCTAGCTAACGCCGTGTTGGTATTAGCTGTGTAGCAGGCTAAGTTGTTAGCCTGTAGCTACAGTGCTAACGTGAGGCTTACCTTGCGCTAGCTGTAATATATAAGCGCAGTGATGCGGTGTCAGTGTGCGTGAGGAGGCGTGGGGGGTTGTGCGTGTTGTTATATGTGATAATTGTGTTATTACCACGTTGTGAAGGTGGATGGAGACCGTGTCCTTGCTAGCCCGCAATGCTAAGATGTTCTCGTCTTCTGCGATCGACTCATGTGTCGTTATAGTTCTGGACACATCTGTGGCCTCAGCGCTCAACATCTAAATGAAGCTAATGCAGGATATATCCTACATGTCACAGTGATGCTGTAAGGAGTCATACCCAACATTAGTGTATATATACAACCCCAACAGGTAGAGATCATATGGAGCATTCATTGCATCGTTGCATTAACAGACACATCCATGATCAAATGAAATAACACGTCATGTAGACGCTGTCTACATTTAGTTTGTGTATTTTAAGACTCAGCACTCATGATTGTAATGGTGTAGTCGTGTGTTTCGAAAAATCGTGTCGGGATTCCCTTTTGTTTACACTTGAGTGACAACACTGGCTTGTCATGTTTCTTTGCCCTGACTGTGATCATTCCCCAGGTTTTAACTTAATGTTAGTGTGAGTCTTTATCTTAAAATAGATTGTGGTTAACTTGTATCTGATCTAAATCAAAACCAGGGACAGTCACTTTATTTTCATCAGCTCAGCCCTCATTGATTTGCAGTCACTTACAAATTTCACTCATCACTTTCTAAATGTCATCCAACTGTGGGTTTGTGAATTTGTGCTATAACACAGCTTTTCATCTCTTTAATCTTGCAGGCTGGCTGCCTTTGCAGCCAGGAGAGGGGAGGGGAAGATGCCTTCTCCGTCTTTTACCCTCGATGCTCAGATGAGATTTCATGACAAATGGCTGAAGATAGACTTACAGGTACATGTTTCTTTTTAAAGAAGGGACTGATAATGAAATGACTGCATGTACATTTGTGGGTTCAGTCAGATGATACGGAGGTGAAGTGACAGTTATTTCAAGTTAGACAAATTCCCTATACACATCCAGGAGAAACAGTTTCATTCCCCGCTGTTGTCAGTGTGGCTGTGTTGCATTATGTCGAGGCTGATGAATGTCATGTATTATCCTTTTTTTCTATGATGCTTATTACCTGGGTCGCATGTGCTCAGGTGTGTAATAAACTGACAGACATGATCTATGAAGACATGTCTGCAGCCACTTGCAAAGATGATGATTGTTTTTCATGTGCAGTTTTTGTGCTTGTGTAAAAATATATATCCTATAATTACATAGCAGGTAAAACAGTATTATTGTAAATTAAGATGTTTGTTGTGAAAACACACTCATGTTGGTGGTAATTTCTTAGATGGGTTTTAGTATATGATGAATATAGAGGTGGCTGTGAGACTGGAATGACTCTCATACTACAAAACAGACTGGCACAAGCTGTCTGCTCTCACCTCCACCATCTGCAGTCTGTCTGGACTACACAATTGGTTTACAGTACCAAATGAAGAATGAAATGAAGGAAGGGTGTCAATGTTTTCCTGTGAGTTGCACTCTGCAGTGCTGAAGGTACTTTTAGTGTCTGGTCTAATGTCATTGGTGACCTAACATGTTTTTGACATTTAAGACATCAGATACTTGACTTGAGAGTACTTCTTAGTAAAGCAGAGCTCTGGATGAATGGTGTAACACTAAGGAGAGGACACCTCATCTTACTGCAGATGTATCCTCTTCATTTAGATTATGGGGATCATGCACATGTTTTGTACACTTGTTGTTTTTTTATCTTTGGGAGTAGTTTGTAAAATTACTTGTCTTATTTATACAGAAAACAAAACAAAAATGTTAAGGAATAATCACTGGTCTTCTTGGATCTATTTCAGCTGCAATTATACAGTAATGCCATCATACAGTGATGGTACCTGTCACTGACACAGTTATGCAGACTTTTCAAAGCAAACACTCACATAAAGATGTGAATATAAACTTAACATTTAAAAGTGTGGACTGATTTTCAGTTTCTGACTTCCTTTGGCAGCGGGCGTTTTCTCCAGAGGGACTGAGTGAGATGTGGAATGAAATGGTAAAAGATGAGGAGATAACATTCAACGGAGAAGAATCAGCTCACCCAGGTCTGTTACTGTGAGATTACTGTATTAATTTAGCCTCTTATGTTTCTGACAGCTTCACATGCTGCTGCCATCTGTTTGTGAGAACATGGGGCATTTATACACAGAGACGGGCCGGTTTGAACTTGCTGATGGGAATGAAGTTGATGTCCCATTTTTTTCCCTCTCTTAGAAGATTGTGACTGCTTTGGAACTCAGAAGAAGGATGAACCCAACGACAAAGAAAAGAAAGAAGAGGAGGAGACGTCAGCATCTGTACATCACTCCATCATTGAGTCCTGGGACTGGGGGCGGCAACCAGGTGAGCGTGCATCCTGAAACATGTTAAATGTGTCGACCTACAATGAATGCTGTTCCAGCGAACTACTATGTGTCCCTGTTTCCTGGTATAGGTCTTGTTATTTTACACCTTTTTGTTTCTGAGTAGGGCCACTGATCTCATGGTTTCACAACACCTAAATGTTGACCAGATGCATTGATAGCGACCATTTCGACACATGGTCATCATCTGTATTTAGTGGTGTCAAGTCTGTCCGGCCCTGCTGATGTACACATGTTTTTGCTGTCACGTGAGTTGTGGAAACTCTTAAATGACAACTCGCAGTGTGCAGGAGTGAGAGGTTATTTTTACCCCTCTGGAGAGTAATCTTGGTAGGTGTCATAATTTGGTCCAGTGAGGGGTAGTGTCTCTCACCCAAGCTGTGTTTACTAGAGGGACTGGGTGGGACAGTGGTGTGTTGGTGTCAGATAAGCACTAGGGTCGGGGGATGGTCTTCTTGCCTTGTGAATTTCGGCTTTTCTTCTAGCTGCTCGGCTACTTCTCTCTTATCTTGTGGACTGAGCACGGAAACCACACAGGTCTTGTGTTGTACAGTGTGTGTGTGTTACCGGGTCGCTACATGATTGATGCTTTATCATTCATTGATGCTCTAAGTTCAAACAGCATACTTCCTGCTTTTCCACTGAGCGCTCAGATACCTGCAACATGTCGACCTCAGCAGTTACAGCTCAGACCCAAGCCATTGTTTTGAAATCAGGATGGTCCATGGACACATGGCAGATTTGCTCTGATTTCCTCTTTTGCATATGAAATCAACCTTTCTGTTATTAATCAACCTCTTTGAATGTAATATTTTTGCAGCACAAGTAACTTTTTAGCTTTGATAATGTATAATAAATAGCAAGCGACTTTGTCTGCCTGGGATACATATCTGTCCTGACAGCCGAGCACAGCTGACTCTTATGTGGCTCATACAACCTCAGGCCAGTCTGGCTTATATAAAGCTTAAGTGGATTTGAGACTGGCTATTTTGGCCCTTCTTGTCTTCCCTGCAGCGCTTCTGTGCAGACACACAATAAAGCATTTTCTCCTGAACCAGATCAGAACAAAGGACTAGTTGTGATGACGGCTAGTGGGGAGAATTTTTAAATATGGTGCATTAACTTTGTTTTTGGTGAGGTCTACAAGTAATATGCTCAGTGTCACAGGACCCTTTTCGCTCTTGGTGTTATTAAGTACTGTGATGTGATGATGAGATGTTGTTTTAATAATGTATTTTGTCATTTCATTTATTGATGTATATATTGCACCTATCTGTGCACATGTTTACTTAAAAATCCCTGGTTCTTTTAAACTTGAGAGTGAAATGTAAAAAATTTAAGGCCACATTTAAATATTTAAAATGTAGCAGCGTGTTAATTGGAGGGACAGAGTTTTTCACAGATGCGTCTGTGATTAATCTGTTACGTTTTGTAATTTTAAAATTAATTAATATCAAAATGTTTTGTTGGTAATTATGTTTACAGCGCAGTGGACACTTATTCTTTTAGGTCAAACAAACTAGCGTGATCTTTTTTTAACCATGCTGAAAGCCTGGGAAAATATAGACTGGCCATTTGCTTTTTTATGTATTTTAAAAGGGGGCACTTTTTTAATGAAAACAGATTAATAATACAATTAAAATCCTTCTGGCTTGAGTAATCATAAAAGAAAAGCAATGCAGCTGGGCAATTTAAATTGATTGTGAATTGTTTTGTACTCTTTTAATTGTCGTGGATGACGATTTATTTTATTGCTCATTTCCCTGTGTGTCTAGATGAGACAGAGTTGAAGGATTGTCTGATGGTCCTGGTTGACGATCAACAGAAGCTCTCAGCTGTAATGGCCAAAAGCACTCTTTCTGCCCAACGCCTGCGCCAGCGCCTGGTCATCCTAGAGCGCTACCTCATCTCTCTAAGCCACAGCATGATGGAGGAAAAATATGAGGTCCGCTGGAAGACGGCCCCCAGCCCACAACTGCCTGCTGCTGACAATAAGAGGTAAAACACATAACGTAGCTAGAGTTTAGCGCGTTGTATCTGTGGTTACTGCTGTTCCCTCACAGCAGGAACGTTGAAGGTTAGATGCATCAGAGATTTGACTGCAGGTCCTGCACTGGTCCTAGTCCTAGTCGGTGATGTGTCCAGGATGACCCCAGCTTCCCACTCTCAAAAGCTGTCTTCACCTTACAATATAATTACATTATACAATAACATGGACTTTGCTTAAGATTGCAGCAGGAGATTCTTCAGGTCAGACACATTCACAATAGGAACATGTCTTGTAGCTGTAACCGCAACTTGACTGGTTGGCGGAGGCATACAGCTGTAAATCACTAATCCACGTTTCCCCTTTTCTTCCTCTTTAGCAAACTCCACTTGTGTGCATGATATACTACATGTAGCTCTTCCTTGTAGGCTAGTGTTCTACTGTGTTCCACACTTGTTCATTTGTGAACGAGTGCTCTGTTGGTCAGCATTTGATATACTTTGAATGTCACTGAAGAATCAACAGAATTTGAGTTGATCCCTTTGTTGTTAATTTGGTTGTTTCAGCCCTCGTCCGGTCAGTAAAGGCGTTGAGGGCTTGGCCAGAGTCGGCTCCAGGGCAGCTCTCTCTTTTGCTTTTGCTTTCCTGCGTCGGGCCTGGAGATCAGGTAAGAATGTGAACGTGCACTAACAGTGAAGACCTTTGGCCCCTTAGTAATGATGAGTGCTGTCATAGTAATGGATATTTGCTCAACAGCTGTTGATGAATATGTTGCACCGTTTTACACGCTGCTCATAGTAAAGGACTCGTGGACAACACGAACCCAACATATTACGCAATGCTCTGTTTTAAGCAACATATTTCGCAATGCGATGTTTTTAGCTACTGCTAAAAATATCGCAGTTTTTAGCTACTGCTAAAAATATCGCAGTGCAAAATATGTTGGGTTCATGTTTGAGTTGAAGGACTGCAGGAGCTATGCAGGACAGAGCCTGGGTATCTTGTCAGAATTGTTTTTAAACGCTCTGTTATATGAATGAATTTAACTTGAACAATTATCATTTGTTTACATGTAGCTCTGAATCTTTATGCAGCTGAAAATAAAAAGGGTGGATAGATTTGGAACTATCAGTTATCAATGTTTGTCATAAGAGTTTAAAAATTAATATATTTTTCATTTCAGGATTTACTTAAAGGTACAGTGTGTAGAATTTAGTAATATCTAATGGTGAAATTGCATGTTGCTGCTGAACACCCTTCACCTCCCCCTCCCCCTTCCAAACATGTAAGAGAACCCTGTCAGAAAAACTCAAAATGTGTTTAGTTTGTCCAGTCTGGACTAATCTTAAAAACATGGAAACCTCCGTAGAGAGCGTCCCCTCAATGTAAATATAAAGTATTTAAATTTAAAGGGCCTGTTCTGGGGTAAAGAAAACAACCATTTGTAAAATTTAAATGAAACAAACTAGTGAAAACATCATGAGGATTATTTTATATTCACTCTGTGCCAATAGATCCCTTTCACCTAAATTTTACACACTGAACCTTTATTGTAGTTTACATAAAGTATTCTAGTAAAACATTCCAGCGCAGCAGCACTTCGGACTATGACGTATTCTAATCAAATCAAATAATTAACAGCTTTGGCAGCAGCTATGTTTGTTTAAAAGCCCTTCGTTGACAGCTTTGCAAGTACAGTTACTGTTTTTATTTTTATCATGCACTGACGTGAGGTTGAGAGCTGCCTGTCCACAGGGACTGGGTCGGAACAAAGAGCCGGCCTCTTGTCTGTAGCCTTCCTGTAATATGAGCAGTGCGTGCACACACACACTCAATCTTAAGCCTCTCATCCTCAGTCTAGCTGCGTTCCTGGAATACACTGTAAGAACAACAGAAGTGTAACAATGTGCTCTTTCACTCACCACCTGCTGAGTGAATGTTTCTCCAAATGTTGGGGAGAGATAGATTTTCAGTTGGACTGTAACAACAGTTAATTTGATCGGTTGCTGGTGAAATTTGCTGCTTCCATAAATTCATGCAAGATGGAATGGGCTCACATTCAGCAATTATCTCAGATTGAATCAGTGATTAAAATAGTTCTCCTATACTATTTCCCTAAATACTAAGGACATTTGGTTTTGGACCTACTTGTGGTCAATTTACATTATATGTGTTGTTACATGCTTATGTGCATTAACTGCTTTTTAATTTTAGATTTAGGGATATATTGCAAATCAGAAATGTGATGAATTCCACATTTGTGCTGACTGGGCCTGTTTAACTGTTTCTGATGTTAATATCTCAGGGTGACCTCTATGTTGCTCAGCCGGTAAATGCTACATTCCATTTATAAACTGGAAATCATCTGTGCTTTGTTACAGGAGATGATGCAGATCTTTGCAGTGAGCTTCTCCAGGAGTCTCTGGATGCCCTGCGAGCTCTGCCAGAGGCCACACTGTTTGATGAGGGAACTGTGTCATCAGTGTGGCTGGAGGTTGTTGAGAGAGCCACCAAGTTCCTCAGGTTTGTTTTTTCTAGGGTTGTTGCCCTGACCAGTGTTACATGGTGCTCAGGCACATACAGAATACATAATTTGCCCACCAGCCAAACATTGGTAATTGTTTGTGTATCAGTGGTAGCATCCACATTCATTAATTAAAAAATACTAATTTTTAAAACTTCAAGTTATCAATAATTAGTTTAACTGTTTTTTGACATTAACTATGGAGTATATCTGCAGAATTAGGTCTGGACTTTCTCCGGATTTTTTCTTTCACACATGAACATCTCAGCAGCAGATTCTCTGCTCAGATGTGTTCACAACAACATACAAATCTAATGAAGCAACGGTGCAAAAAACAATTTGGAGATCAAGTTATTAAGAGTGAGCCGACAGTCTAGTTACTGTATGGGAATTATGGGAAACACTTCACTGCAACTTCAAGTTCAGCGGAAAATGGGGCTACATTAGAATAAAAGTCTCTACAGACACTGAAGCAACACACACTTTTTCTTCTTCTTCAATGTCTGGTGTATCACCATCAGTATCACCTGTGTTGTGAAAGAAATACTGCACTGTGGCATCCCCCGTTTTTAATGATCAGTTGCTACGGTACTTAATAATATAAGTAATGCTTTTTTTCTCTTTTGGGACTAGTGACGTACATGGAAGTGCCTCCACCAAAGGCAACATTCCTCTACAGGACCAGCACCTAGTCCTGGCCATCTTGCTGGAGCTGGCTGTGCAGAGGGGCACTCTCAGGTAACCACATACACTCCGTAACTGCTTATGTGCTATCCTGTGATCACACTGCAGTTGAAATGCACTTCTTCCTCACTGCTCACTTTGCCCTTTCATCTTCATGTTTTCCCAGTCAGCTGTTGTCTGCTGTTATGTTACTGCTGCGTCTGTGGGAAAGTGGCACAAGAGAGATGGACAACGAGCGCTCCACCCAGGGAACCAGTGCTCCTCTACTACCCCTCCTGCAGCGCTTTCAGAACATACACAGCAGCAAGGAAGAGCCCATTCCTGAAGAGGAAGCTGAGGTGAAAACCTCAGTTTGACACAAAACAAATATTGGAATTGGAACGGTTGCCTTTTACTGTATAATTTTAAAATAAGACAATGAGAGACCAAGAATCCTTTCAAACTAAATGTTTCACCTTTCTTAAAATACATTGATCTCTGGATTGTTCCCCTATTCCTGATTGAGAATAAAATGTAATTAGTTCTCTGTGGTTCATTTCTGTGATTTCCAGATCCTGACTGCCCCTTTAAGTCCAAATGAGAGTTTCCTGCGCTACTTGACCTTGCCTCAGGATAATGACTTAGCCATTGACCTTCGCCAAACAGCTGTCGTGATCATGGCCCACCTGGATCGCTTGGCTTCTCCTTGCAGCCCTCCACAGTGCAACTCTCCCACGTCACACAAGGTGAAGACTCTTTTTATCAAGTGGCAAAGATGAACAGATTTGTTAATTTTTGTTATGTCATGTAATGCTACTTCTGGAATTTCCTGATTGTTTAATGATCTTTGTGCTAATTAGTAAGGTATGAGTATGGTGGGACATAAACACACGGATAAACATGGTCACCCTCAGACTTAACCCAAGTAACAATCCTTTTGTGGGAAAAACAAGGAACAGCAGTTAATCAAATGTGATGGTTATGTAAAACACATAACCATAAAAAATGAACCTTTGAAAAATTAATTTTCATGGCCATGTATTTTTGCTGGAGGAGAAGTTACATCAAACAATCATGTGACTGACTTTGTGTCCTTCTATGACTTTGTTTCTTCCAGGGATCCTTACAGGAGGTGATTTCCTGGGGCCTGCTGGGGTGGAAGCTTTATCCCAATCTGAGTGGACCCATTCAGTGCAAAGCCCTGTCCAGCCTCGGAGTCACACAAATCGTTTGTTCAGAGAAGGGCTTTCTCATCCTGTCCCGCAGCAGTGCTGTCTACACTCAGAACTACAAGAGCACAACCCTGGTCAGTTGTGTAATGCAGTTATTTACTGTCAAACAATGTACACCTGTCTAATAAACAACCTTTATTCTGCTGCAGATTAAGTCACTGAATTATTATGTTGCAGGCTCCTATGCTGATCCACTTTCTGAGCTCCAGAAAGATTGTGAAGCTCGCAGCTCATCCTGACGGGCAGCACTACTTGGCCCTGTCGGCCAACGGGGAGGTGTTCTCCTGGGGCTGCGGTGATGGTGGCCGCCTTGGACATGGAGACACGACGTAAGTTACTTGAGAATAACCTGGTGGATATTTTAATTCCTCAGAGGTCATCCAGTTTGATGTTTCCACCTCGTTACATGATATAAAATAATTACTGAGAGGGGGAGAATGTACGTTAAATCTGATCTTTGATACAGGACTTGTAAGTGACATTCACAAAAAGCAGATTTAGCTCCACTAAATGTTCGATGAAGCAGATAGTGGAAACATAGACACATTATTTTCCCAAATCTAGGACATTCTTATCAGTGTTTAATGCTTTATAGATCAAAAGAGCTGAGCTGACCTGAATACCTCTGTTTTACACAAGAATGAAAACATCAAAACTTGACAGTTGTATAAATAGAATGTGTGTTATTAATAATTTTCTGAAAAAATACAAACCTTTCACTGAAATGAAGGTTACTTAAAGGCCTGTTGTTTGTTTCCCAAATTATTACAACAACTGGGGAAAGGTATTTCAGTGTTCTATCAGCTCCCTCACTGCTTCTATCAGGTATCTTGAAGAGCCTGCAGTGATCACGGCCTTCAATGGGAAACAGACAGGAAAGCATGTGGTCCATATCGCTTGCGGAAGCACATACAGCGCTGCCGTCACGGCTGATGGCGAGCTCTACACGTGGGGCAGAGGGAACTATGGTCGACTGGGCCACGGTGAGCTCCATCTCCACTGAACCTGCAGGACACTGCCTTGCCTTTTCTCATTGGTGTGTGTGATAAATCTCTGAAAATCCATTTTTCATTTGATTGGGGTTTAGGCTCTAGTGAGGATCAGACTACGCCCATGCTGGTGACAGCGCTGAAGGGACTGAAGGTAGTGGATGTGGCATGTGGAAGTGGAGATGCACAAACACTTGCTGTGACAGAAAATGGTAAGAAGTGGTTGCTGGCTGAAGCTCTCACTGAAGAAACCTGCAGCATTACTCAAACTATTACAGTATTGTTTTTAATTCACCTTCTTTATTACCATAGGTCAGGTTTGGTCCTGGGGGGACGGAGACTACGGCAAACTGGGCCGAGGAGGCAGTGACGGCTGCAAGACGCCCAAACTTGTGGAGAAGCTTCAGGACCTGGACATAGTGAAGGTGTGCTGCGGCAGCCAGTTTTCAGTGGCCCTCACCAAAGATGGCCAAGTGTACACCTGGGGAAAAGGAGACAATCAACGTCTTGGTCATGGCACTGATGAGCACGTCCGCTACCCAAAGTTGCTCGACAGTTTAGAGGGTGAGTTGCCTATAAAAAAGAAAATCGTCAGTAGCTTTTAAAATACGAATACTGATTTCTGGCTTTTTTGTATGCATCAGGGAAGAAAGTTGTGGATGTTGCCGTGGGATCTACCCACTGCTTAGCCCTGACAGACGATGGAGAGGTGCACAGTTGGGGCAGCAACGATAAACTCCAGCACTTTGATACACTCTTTTCTAACAAGAAGCAGCCCAAGGCGCTGCCGGGGCTCAACTCTAAACACATCGTGGGGATCTCCTGTGGCCCAGGACAGGTAATATACAAGACTTTCCCATAGTTATAATGAGTGTAGATAGATTCAACACTGAGCATTTGTTTGTTTTCAGAGCTTTGCCTGGTCCTCATGCTCAGAGTGGTCTGTTGGGCAGCGGGTGCCCTTCGTAGTGGACGTATGTCCCATGTCCTTTGAGCAGCTGGACCTGCTCCTGAGGCAGGTCAGCGAGGGAATGGATGGCAGCTCAGACTGGCCTCCCCCACAGGAAAAGGAGTGTATGGTAGTAGCCACACTCAACCTGCTCAGGCTCCAGGTAGGCAGGGGTCTGTCAACAGATCAGACCTTTCTCTAATGCAGACTTTACCTCATGACTGTGCCTCGTTATTTCTAACATTTCAGTTATAAAAACAACAGCAGATGACCCTTATGGAAATCTTCTCTCTCTCTCTCTCTCTCTCCATAGCTCCATGCTGCCATCAGTAACCAGGTCAATCCAGAGGAGTTGGGATTAGGGCTTGGCAGTGTGCTGCTCAACAACCTGAAACAAACAGTGGTAGTATTAGCTAGCAATGCTGGGGTGCTGAATACTGTGCAAGCAGCTGCCCAAGCTGTCCTCCAAAGTGGCTGGTCAGTGCTGCTGCCCACTGCAGAGGAAAGAGCGAGGGCATTATCCTCACTTCTGCCTAATGCTGGTGAGTGCAAATCCCAACATTTGCTAATACTGATGAAACACAAAAATGGGTGCTCAGTAGTCCATTCATTCTGTTAATTTCATGTGTACAGAAGAAAAGATAGGCCTGGGTAGATTGAGGTTTTCTGTATTTATTTCAGCTTCTGGAAATGAGATGAGTGTGAGCGCGGGACGTCGCTTCATGATCGACCTGCTGGTCAGTAGCTTAATGGCTGATGGAGGGTTGGAATCTGCACTGAATGCAGCCATCACTGCTGAGATACAGGTTGGTGTGTGTTATCACTCTACTCTTTTACACAATGTATTCATGGCAACAAGGCCTCATCTATATGTGTAACAAAATGTAGATGAAGATTTGTCTTTGGCTTGAGAGGCTGATTGAACTGGAAATTCCTAAGACCAGGGTCAAAGTTGGTTTTTTTTAGTTGGCTATTTGGTCTATTCAAAACAGAGCTACAATAGACTCATGCTTAAGTTAAGGACAGATTTCTGTTTAATTTATCTTTACAAATAAATATTTAGTTTTCACCCTCTCTTGTGTTCATGACAGGATATTGAAGCAAAGAAGGAGGCTCAGAAAGAGAAGGAGATCGATGAGCAGGAGGCCAATGCCTCCACCATGCATCGTTGTCGCACCATGCTGGACAAAGATCTCATCAACACCGGCATCTACGAGTCAGCAGGGAAACAGAGCCTGCCTCTAGTGCAACTTGTGCAGCAGCTGCTGAGGTGCATGCACTGTGCCTGAATTTCTGTGTAAACTCTACAGCATAACCCCTCAATGCCATCCAACAGATTTACATTTTCCTTTTTTCCAGGAACATTGCTTCCCAGACCATTGCACGGTTGAAGGATGTTGCTTGCCGCATATCCAACTATTTAGAGGCAGAGCATGTCAGCAAGGAACGCTCCGCATCTCTCGACCTGCTGCTGCGCTTCCAGAGGCTGCTTGTTAGCAAACTCTACCTGGGAGTCAATGGCACAGAGAATGTGAATGGATACAGTGAGTCATTCTTTCTACCCAAATGCCCTCTCTACTCATGCTGGTTTAAATATTAGTTCTACATAGGAAACATTTGATTCCTCTGTTTTTGCAGATCCAGAGCTTCTCGGTGTTGGTTCCCTGTTAAAGAAATACATAGCTCTTTTATGTACGCACATTGGAGACATCCTCCCAGTGGCGACAAGTATTGCCTCTACTGGTCGCCGCCATTTTGCTGAAGTCTCTCGTGTTATTGAGGGAGATCTAACTGGTAAATCCCTCTTGCAGAAATGTGTGTGCAGGATGAGAATCACATCTTTTAAGATGCTTGTTCGACTGTTATGGATGGCTTTCTGTCTCTTCACTTGTAGGAGTGCTTTTGCCTGAGTTGGTGGTGTCCATCGTCCTCCTCCTCACCATTGATGCAGGTCTGATGCAGGAGACTGGTTCTATCCCTCTCCTTGCTGGACTCCTTGAGCATGTGGACCGTTTCAATCACCTGGCTCCAGGACATGAGAGGGATGATAACGAGGATCTGGCGTGGCCAGGCATTATGGGTAAAACACTGACAGTATAGCTGCTCTCAGACATGCACTGAACTCCGGAGATCCTCCGCATTTTTCCGAAGGATGTGTATGTGTAAATGCAAATGTCCGAGATCTCAGTCTGCCCCTCTAGTATATAGTTGGCAGAAAGTCAGCACAATCCGATGTAAGAGCACAGCAGGAGATCCCCCGCTGGATTCACTGCGAGTGAATCACCAGCCCTCTCCTGAATCCTGTGTCAAATTTGTTGTTGTGAAAGCATGTGAGCAGAGAACCATCTGCTGTGTTGTGCATGGTTGAAAGGCAGACTCCAGAGAAAGTCCGGACTTAATTATCCAGAGTTCCTCCGCAGGTCGTGCCTGAAAATGACTTATCTTACATGTCCCTGAAGTGGATTTATCAAAATTGTACATTTTATGGTTATTCGCACCATTATGATTTAAACGTAACTAGCTCTTATTCTGCTGTGGCAGGGTCCTTCTTCACAGGTCAAAGTTCCAAGAACAATGAAGAAGTTTCCCTCATCCGCAAGGCTGACCTGGAGAATCACAACAAAGACGGTGGTTTCTGGACAGTAATAGATGGAAAGGTCTATGACATCAAGGACTTCCAGGCTCAGTCGCAGTCGTTAACAGGAAACAGTATCCTGGGTAATGATAAAAATAAACCGTTATTGTGTAAAATTCCAGGCAGTTTTTATGGATTGTATAAATTATATTAATGTTTTATATCTTTCTCAGCTCAGTTTGTAGGAGAGGACCCTGTGGTTGCTTTGGAAGCTGCTCTGCAGTTTGAAGACACCAGAGAATCAATGCAGGCCTTTTGTGTTGGCCAGTATATGGAGGTACCAGCTAGCCCAATTTATGTTTTTGGTAATTCATTACTTTATAACTGCTTCTAATCTCTGGTTTTATTATATGATATCATTTACAGCCTAACCAGGAGACAGTCACCACTCCAGACCTCAGCAGTCTGTCCTCCCCTCTTATTGACACAGAGAGGAACCTGGGATTGCTACTGGGTCTCCACGCCTCCTACCTGGCCAAGAGCACTCCCCTGTCCCCCATTGAGATTGAATGTGCCAGTGGGTTTCATGATTTTTAATTAATTTAACCTCGTTTGAAAATTCAGATGTTGGTCTGCATGTGCAAAAACTGCATTTCATTTTTAACTCAAAATCTTCATCTATTTGCACAGAATGGCTCCAGTCTTCTATTTTCTCTGGTGGTCTGCAAACCAGTCAGATCCACTATAACTACAATGAAGAGAAGGATGAAGACCACTGCACCTCCCTCGGAACAACAACCCCAGACAAAGCCAAACTCTACTCCCGAAGATTAACCCTCAGTGACCATGCGCAGCCTTTCCTGCAGGCCATCGCTGACAACACCACTCAGGACCACACTGTGAAGGTACAAGCACGAGACAAGTGAGGCAGTGAGCATGAAGCCAAAGGATGAAGTCATGCTTTCATCTTCTCTTATTGTTTGTGACATTATAGGACTTCCTATGCCAAATTGAACGTTGCTGTAAGCAGTACCATCTGATTACACCCATCACCTTCCCCCCGGAACACCCTGTGGAGGAGGTTGGCCGCCTGCTGCTCTGCTGCCTGCTCAAACATCAAGACCTCGGTAACCTAGCAACTGGTCTTTAAGTTTTGAGGATAAATTAAAGGCTTTTAAATCGCTGAAATTTATTTCGCTACATTTTTTTTTTTTATGAAGCTAAGATGCACTGAAATATTTCTTTCTGCAACTGCACAATCTCCAGCTCTATTATTAGTTACAGCAATTTAACCAAAAATCTCCACCTGTCACAGGTCACATTGCTCTTTCACTTGTAAGTCAATGTGCCTTGGGTGTGGACCAAGGGAAACAGAGGTCCCTCCCTAAATCTGTGATTGACGTGTGCCGCATGGTCTACCAGGCAAAGTGTTCTTTAATCAAGGTATGATTCCTGCTTCATAATAATGAAAACAGTATTCTGCAGGTAACTTGTGGTGCACAGGAGAAGAGATGAAGAACATGGTTTAAATGACATTTTGGCTTTGTTCCTACTATTTTAGACCCATCAGGAGCAAGGTCGCTCATATAAAGAGGTGTGTGCCCCTGTCATTGAGCGTCTACGCTTTCTGTTTAATGAGCTACGTCCAGCCGTAAGCAACGACCTGTCCATAGTGTCCAAACTGAAGCTGCTGAGCTCTCAGCCCCGCTGGAGGAGGATCACCCAGAAACTAATCAGGGACAGAAGGAAAAAAAGAGGTGGGTTATTCAAACCCCACTACAGAGTGATAAAAGTTTTTTTGATACTATAGATTTTTAAAACTAATCTGAATTATAAATATGTTCTCTTATTTTAGTGCCTAAGAAGTCAGAGTCTGCTGACATTGAAGAGCCAAAGCTGGAAAATGAAGGGACCAATGAAGAAGAACTTAATGTTCATATCAGCCCCACAACTGCAGATAGAAAATCACCCACTACCAAGACATCCAAGGTAATATAATTGAGATTTTGTGTATGTTCCACTACCATGGGTTGCTTGTTGCTGTTCATGTTTGCAATAACAGGTGTTTACAGTACAAGCTGACATTCCTGTATCTTTTATAATTTTTGCAGCAAGACAAATGGCACCCAATTTTAAACACCGTGGCCAATGTCCAGAAGTACCGGTGGCTGAAACACAGTGTTGTGGGGGTCTTCTCCCAGTCCAGCCTTATGGCTACCATAGTGGAGTTTGTACTGAAAGAAGAGCCTCTGGATGTAGAGAAGATGAGGAAGTGCCTTCTTAAACAGGTGACAGTGAAGATACAGATAGCCTTCTTGCATAAACTGTCTGTAAAACAAGTAAAGTCAAAACATGACCAATGTTACCTCCATCTCGTCACAGCTGGAGAGGGCTGAGGTGAGGCTAGAGGGCATCGACACCATGCTGAAGTTGGCCTCCAAAAACTTCTTACTGCCATCGGTGCAATATGCAATGCTCTGTGGTTGGCAGAGGGTCATACCAGAAGGGACCAACATTGGGTGAGTCGGCAGTATTATACTGTATCTATAATTAAAAAATCAAGTTCAAACCTGACATGGACAAGGTTGACTTTTGACATTGCTCAACCCGAATGTGCTTCTCAGATGCCTTGGGTCATGCTTGTCTGCTCAGGATGGCTTTGCGTGATTTTAAATTCGGTCCAGTTTAAAACAGGTCATTTGACAGTTTGAACACATAGTTTCCTCCCCACGTTCAAATAAATGTTCAAATTGCAAATAAAAAGTGACAGCATTATTTATTTATTTCTGACCATGTTGCTGTTTCAACTTTCCTCTTCAGAGAGCCCCTGTCTGACTGTCTGAAGGACGTGGATCTGATCCCTCCCTTCAACCGCATGCTTTTGGAGGTGACCTTTGGCAAGTTGTATTCCTGGGCCATCCAGAACGTTCGCAACATCCTGCTTGAGGCCAGCGCCCGTTTCAAAGAGCTCGGTGAGTGGTGTGAATTTGACAGTTTCATTTCATAAATATAAACTGCTATTTGTATGATATACTAGTTACAATGTATTGACCATCTGTTTGTCTCGTAACCAGGTGTGCAGCCTGTTCCTCTGCAGACCATCACCAATGAGAACCCAGCGGGACCAAGTCTCGGCACCATTCCACAAGCCCGCTTCCTTCTGGCCATGATACACATGCTGTCGCTGAAACACGGCTCCAACAGCCTCAGTCTCTTGCTAAATTCTGGCATACTTGCTCTCACCCAGAGCATCCTTAGGCTCATAGGTAAGTACTGACCAATTAAATATTCAATGCTCAGTTGAGACAGAGCAGATGCAGAGTGCACCTGTCCAAACTTATGGTTGCAGGTGTTTGACATCTCTTTTATTCTTGTGTTTCCAGGACCCAGCACAGACAGCAGTGAGGAGGATCTGAGTTTATGTGCACACGGAGGCTCTGCCACAGTACTGGAGGAGTCCAGAAAGGAGGCTGCACCTGCCCCTCTTCCTGCCTCTGGCCCAGAGCTGGCTGCCATGATGAAGATAGGCACCAGGGTCATGAGGGGAGTGGACTGGAAATGGGGAGACCAGGTACCTAATTCTTATTTGTTGTCATAAAAATAGCTGATGGAATGCTTTGTTGTAGCTAAAACAGGGAAGAAAGGCCTTGCTGTTCAGTTCTTGACACTGTGCATGTTCTGTTAGGACGGTCCAGCACCAGGTCTGGGCAGGGTCATCGGTGAGCTGGGTGAAGACGGCTGGATCAGGGTCCAGTGGGACACAAGCAGCACCAACTCCTACAGAATGGGCAAAGAGGGCAAGTATGATCTTAAGTTGGCAGAGCCACCACCCGCTGCCCAGCCCCCCACCGAGGACTCAGATACAGAGGATGACACAGGTAATTTAAATGACTGTCTCAGTAAAGACCACAACTACAAACCAGATGAGAGCTTCAACCCCTCATCTCTACATTCTGCTCTTTGTTACAGAAGGCGAGCTGATGGAGAAGAGCAGCCACCCGACAGCTATGATGCTGACCAGCACTGTCAACCTGCTGAAGACACTGTCTCTTTCAGCTGGGATCTACGCAGAGGTGCTGCAGACAGATGCTACACGCACCCTGTGTGGGCTGCTGAGGATGCTTGTGGAAAGTGGAGCTAATGAAAAGTCAGGTAGCTGAACCTCCATCACCAACAGCTTTTTAAAGAACAACTTTTTGGTTATGATCTTATTCTAACTGGACTTACATTTGTTTTCAGGCTGTCACTCCCACAGGTTGGTGTCTCGGGAGCAGCACAGAAGCTGGTGCACACTGGGCTTTATACGCAGCATTGCTGTCATGCCCCAGATTTGCAGCACGCTCAGCACCTCTGCATGGATCAACCTGCTTATCCGAATCGTTGAGGGACACCAGTCCTTCAATGCCATTACTCTGCAGAGACAGGTGGGTTGTGTGGAAGGAGTTTATTATATACAATCTGCAGTCCAGATGTGGAGTAGAGATGCCATAAAAGAGCCCCATGCCAAGTTGAAAATTGTTGGAAGAGGTTTATTCATACTTTTTCTGATATTGTTGTTCTATTTGAGTTACTGAAATGATGCAATCCAGTTAGGATTCAGTTAATAGTGCAAAGAGGCTGCTTTCATAAACATTATCTCTCTGGAGTTGACACCCCTTTGTGTCGCGCATCTTGCATCTCTCCAGATCCTGGCACTACGTCTCCTGCAGGCAGTCCTGCCCTCATGGGAAAAGATGGAGCGCTCTCAGGACATGAAGTTCCTGGTGGAGAAGTTGTTCACATTCTTGGGAACTCTACTGAGCACCTGCTCATCAGACCTGCCACTTCTTAGAGGTGCAGCATTGAATCAGGCTCTATGTGGAAATATGTGTGTTTTTTGCTGTAATATGTTTTTTGAAGACACTACTTCCTCCTCACAGAGGGTTCCCTGCGAAGGAGGAAGTCCCGCCCTCAGGCATCTCTTACAGCCACTCACAGCAGTACCCTGGCTGAGGAGATTGTTGCTGTCCTGCGTACGCTGCACTCTCTAGGCCAGTGGAACAGTCTGATCAATGATTACATCAACACTCTGCTCAGTGCCATTGGAGATGTTATGGCAGGATGCCAATCTGAAGCAGTAAGAATTGTTCCTTTTAAGAAATGTCTGTGGTAAAACATCAACCCTCAGCCATAATTTGAGTGTGACTTCATTTGTAAATTCAGTGTTATAAACATTTTGATTACAATCTGCTCATATCCTTATTTTAGTGTTTCCTGGAGGAATATTTTCCTGATTCGGAGGGTCCCAGGGTGGGCAGTCTGATGGCTGTGCTGGCAGTGATTGGAGGAATTGATGGGCGCCTCAGGCTTGGTGGACAGGTCATTCACGAGGAGTATGGAGAGGGAACAGTCACACGCATCACCCCTAAAGGACGAATCACTGTGCAGTTTTATGAGATGAGGACCTGTCGGGTTTGCTTGCTCAGTCATCTCAGACCGGTAAGATATTTACACACATTAGTACTACTTTCACAGTTATATACTGACTTTACTTTATGGTTTTTCTCCTCAGCTACATGCAGTATCCTTCAGTGTGCAGAACCTGCCCTTCACTGAGCCCATGTTGGCAGTCTGGGCTCAGCTGGTCAGCCTGGCTGGAAGCAAACTGGAGAAACAGCGCATGAAGAAATCCCTTAGCCGAGGGCTGACAGGTACAGAGACTTCTTGTCTCATTCCCTCTCAAATAATGACCATAATCAAAGGGTTCAAAGGTTCAGTGTGTAGAATTTAGTGGTGAATTTGCATGTTTCAGCCTCACCTTACCCTCCCCTTCCAAACATGAAGAATACCTGTAGTAGTTTTCAATTTACATGAAAACTCAAAAGGTGTTCAGTTTCTCCAGTCTGGACTACTATAAAAAACATGGCCTCTGTAGAGAGGACCCCCCTCCCGATGTAAATATGAAGTATTTCAATATAAAGGGTTCATTCTTGGGTAAAGAGACAATTCGTATAATTAGAAGAAACACACTAGTGAAAACTAGTGTTTTCACTAGGATTATTTTATCATTTCTGCCACCTAAATCTTACACACTGAACCTTTAAGCTATGAAAGATGTTTTGATATAGTTTTAAGTGTCTTATTGTCGTGTCGGGTTAGTTAAATTAAACCTATTATATCTTCAGCTGACCAGGTGGACATCCACTTACTACGCTGTCAGCAGCTCAGGCTGTATATCTTGAAAGCAGCGCGGGCCCTGCTTTCTCATCAAGACAAACTTAGACAGATCCTCTCTCAGCCGGCAGTCGTGGACATTGGACCCAACCCCAGTGGTGAGACGTCAATAAATTAAGCAAATGAAATAACTTAACACGCAACTTATGTTTCTTAGGGTCTTAAGTAGTCTTTAGTTGTGTGTCATCTTATTGAATGTATTTTAGATTCACTTCCATAGTAAGTAATTTTAGGAAAACTATCAGTGGTTGAAATAGAAAATGTAATCTCTACACTACTGCTATGGGTTTTATATCAGGGCACCCAGTGGGTGGACTAGCTGGTTCTTGCACAATTATTATTTTTTTAACAACGCAGCTCCTGTGTGGGAGGACAAATTTAGCAGTGTCTGATTAGCCAGCCTGCTTACCTCGCACTGTGGAAGTTTTCCTGAGTTTGTAAGAGATGTGGGTGGATGTAAACTAAGTTGCAGAGCACATTTTTGACAAAAATATTTTATACTAACAGATATTAGGTTAAAAATGTTAAATTTGATTCATATATTTAAGTCTCTCTCAACACACTTCCCTGCCATCTTTTTGTGTTTGCAGAGGATCCAGTGGTGTCATCTCCTGATGTGGGAGACTTGTCTCCTGAGGGTCCACTGCCTCCACTGATCCTCCTGCAGCAGCTGCTGTCCGCTGCCACTCAGCCCTCCCCAATCAAAGCCATTTTTGACCGACAAGAGATGGAGGTGAGTCAATAGACCTCTCTGTTGCAACATGGTCATAATTAAGTCCAGCAGGAAAGTTCAGCTGCTGTGTTTAGTTTGACCTCAGTTTTATCTTTGTATCTCTGGACATGTAGGCGGCAGCTCTGGCGGTGTGTCAGTACTTGGCTGTGGAATCAGCCCACCCATCTTCTCCCCTGTTTGAGGAGAGCAGCTCCAGTGAGGCCACCACACCTGTCACCATACAGCATATCAAACCTCCTAAACAGAAGAAACAGAAGACGTCCCCTGTCCCTCCATTACCCATAGTCCTCCAGCTCATGGAAATGGGGTTTCCACGCAAGAACATTGAGTTTGCATTGAAGTCTCTGTCTGGAACTACCAGCAGTACCTCTGGTGCACCAGGTATATGATCATATACCATTAACCTGAATGAGTTAATATGTTGGAATGCTTGCTTTTGAAAGTGTCATCCTCTGTTTATATTACTGTGGCAAAGACTCTGTAACTATCACTGCAGCTGTGTGTGCTATATTTGTGTCTCTATATGGTTAACGTAACATTTTGAAATATACTTTGAAGAGTAACTGAACATGTACATCAGGTGTGGAGGCTCTGGTGAGCTGGCTGCTGGACCATCCAGACATTCATGTCACTGAGCTGTCAGATGCCGACACTGTGTCAGATGAGTACTCTGATGAGGAGGTGCTCGAGGAGCTGGAGGAGGCTGAGCCGACATTCTCTGTGGTACTTTATTTCTTAGTGTTTTTATTTCTGCCATAACTAACTTGGTAAGGGACGAGCGGATGTAATATTCCTCATGTTTTTCATTAGCCTGCAGGTGCAGTGGTGACTGAAAGCCAGACATTTAAGAAGAGATCAGATTTTCAAAGCAATGATGATTATGCTGTGTATGTCAGAGAGAACATTCAGGTAAGAGCAGCAGTGTTTTTCTGAAACTGGTTTAAGAAATGTGACACAGGCCTGAACGATCCGGGACTTCTGTGCAGGTGGGGATGATGGTGAAGTGCTGCAGAACGTACGAGGAAGTGTATGACGGAGATGTCGGGAAAGTGATTAAACTGGACAGAGATGGACTCCATGACTTAAACGTGCAGTGTGACTGGCAGCAGAAAGGAGGAACGTACTGGGTCCGCTACATCCACATCGAACTACTTGGTAAGTTTTAAATTTCATTGTGATGTGATGCTGGTAATTATAAATGACTCGCTCTGGAGAAACATTGGCCACTTTTTTGGAAAAAAAACCCTTTGACATGTTTTGCCTCATTATTTCCATTACCAGGATTCCCACCACAAACTTCTCCATCCCATATAAAAATCGGCGACAAAGTGAGGGTGAAACCTACAGTCACAACGCCAAAGTACAAATGGGGCTCTGTCACTCATAGGAGTGTGGGAGTTGTGAAAGGTAAGCCCATGCAGCCTTTAATCTTGTATCATTCGTATTTTGGATTGTTTTTATAACCTGCTTCTGATGAACACATTTTTCAGTTTAATGTTCTTCTGTCCTCTATACTAAATGAGCTTAACATTTTGTTTTAGCTTTCAGTGCCAATGGAAAGGACGTAATAGTAGATTTCCCTCAGCAGTCCCACTGGACTGGCTTGTTGTCTGAGATGGAGCTTGTGCCCAGCGTTCATCCAGGAGTGAGGTAAAGATATGTTTAAGATTCCTCTCTACCCAGTTACAGTATCTCTGTATTACAACATGTCGTTCAAATGCCATCTCTGCTCTATCTGCAGGTGTGATGGCTGTCAGATGTTCCCAATAAATGGGCCCAGGTTCAAATGTAGGAACTGTGATGACTTTGACTTCTGTGAAAACTGCTTCAAGACGCGCAAACACAACACCAGACATTCCTTTGGCAGAATCAACGAGCCCGGTTGGTCACAAGTTCTGTCAGATATTGGTGTGTGTCCGTGTGTGTATCTGTATATTTGTGTGAACCTGTTCATCTTCCCTTCAATCAGGCCAGTCTCCTGCATTCTGCGGCCGCTCAGGAAAACAGCTCAAGAAGCATCACAGCTGCCAGCGCGGGATGCTGATTGACGATTGGTCTCGTGCCGTCAAGAGCCTGAACGTCTCCTCCTCAGTTAACCAGGCCTCACGGCTCATTGACTGCAGTGATCAGTGCTGGCAGTCCTCCGGCTCGCAGGGAAAGGCAGGAGATTGAATTCCATACTCTAATAAAATGAATGACAGCCATTAAGCCTTCTTTATTGAAGTGTAATGCATCAGCTGACAGGGTTTATCATTCTCCTCTCTGCAGCACTGGATTCGTCTGGAGCTTTTCCCTGACGTTCTTGTACACAGGCTGAAGATGATCGTGGACCCCGCAGACAGCAGCTACATGCCGTCACTGGTGGTGGTGTCAGGTGGGTACATTTTCTTTTCTTATTTGTTCCCGTCAGCTCACACATATAGTATGTATTCTTGTCAGTAAACAGTTGTATGGTGCAACATATGTACATTTGGTTTAATATACAGGTGGAAGCTCTTTGAACAACTTGATTGAGCTGAAGACAATCAACATCAATCCCACAGACACCACTGTCCTCCTGCTGAGTGACTGCACTGAGGTTGGTTGGTTTAGTTTGACATCAACTTTTTATCATTGCTTTTTACTGTAGAATTAGTGTTGTGATAACACAAAGGATGTTTTCAACAGTATCACAGGTACATCGAGATTGCAATCAAGCAGTGCCGCAGCTCTGGTATAGACTGCAAGATTCACGGACTTGGTATTGTGGGGCGCATCAGAGCTGAGGATGAAGACCTTGCCACGGTCCCTTTCCTGGCGTCTGACAATGAAGAAGAGGAGGATGACAAAACTGCCACTGGGAGGTACGGCCAACCATAGAATGAATATTTTAGAAGTAGGTGAATGCTCTCCATATCTTAATGAATGTGTTGGCTGTTGTCGCAGTCAACACGTTATTCTTTTTTTCAGTCTGGATTTTTAGAGTTTTGTTGTGGGTGCAGAACATGTGTCTGCTGACATACCAGTATATGCTCACAGGTACATGTACATGGCTTAATGCATTATGAAAGGTTACCATTGGTTGACCTGGATCATTAAGCTTCATTAAGAGTATGTCGATATATTCCTGTAAATTCAGCTATGTCCACAAGAACACAGCAGTGTTTTTTTTAAATTTGAAGTAATCAAGACAAGAAAAATAAAGTATATATGACATAAGTTAATATTTATGCTCTCACTGTGTGTTTTGTTTTGTCCCTTAGTCTTGCTCGAAAGAAGTCATCAGGTCTGGAGTCAGCGGCCACCATCAGGACCAAAGTGTTTGTGTGGGGTCTGAATGATAAGGATCAGCTGGGAGGACTAAAGGGTTCAAAGGTGCAGCCTGCTACATAATGAAATATAGCATGTGGAAAGACTGTTGGTAGCAGAATAAATGCAAACTTTGTTAAATTTAGCACTAGTAGGTAGTGTAAGTTATTTTTCATTACATTGACATGTAATCTTCTAAAAACCGGCCACTCATATTTACGTCAAATGTTACTTATGGCAAAATGCCACATTTTTATAATCTGCTCGGGCTGTACCAAAAAATGAGAACATATTTTCCCTTTACATTATAATAACTTAGGTAAGAGAAGGAAAGTATTAGTAGAAAAACTGTACTTTGTATTGAAAGTACTTTTGCGGCACAATGGTACATTTGAGTGTACAATTGCTCATCAAATATGCTTCATTAAGAGGTTATTCTAAATATTGACACTACTGCTTGATAGTCAAATCTCTACCTTTGCAAGCAAAGATATCAGTTTATAAAAATACAAAGTAGGAAGAATTCCTATAGCTATCGGGTACATGTAGCAAAGGAAAAACAGCAGAATTTCCCTTTTTAAAATGTGGTAAAGTTGCAGAGAATACTAATAATGAAGTTAGGTACAAGTTCTCTAAAAGTGAACCCAAAGTACAGTATACAAGGTTAATCACTGGGTCTGTGCCAGAGGCTCGGAGGCTGTTACATTCTCTAAACACTGTTTTGTGTGTTCTTCACAGATCAAGGTTCCTTCATTCTCTGAAACCCTTTCTGCTCTCAATGTGGTACAAGTGGCCGGTGGTTCAAAAAGCCTCTTTGCAGGTGGGTGTGAAATGATTTTGGGTTGATTCTGTAATGTAACATGTATATATGGCATATATAAAGTCTTTTTTTTTTTCGCCATGGTGCAGTGACAGTCGAAGGGAAGATCTTTGCTTGTGGAGAGGCCACTAATGGCAGGTTGGGCCTGGGTCTCTCCAGTGGGACCATCCCCATCCCCCGTCAGATCACTGCGCTTAGTAACTACGTGGTAAAGAAGGTCGCTGTGCATTCTGGAGGGCGCCACGCCATGGCCCTGACTGTGGATGGAAAAGTGTTCTCCTGGGGAGAGGGAGACGACGGCAAACTGGGACACTTCAGCAGAATGTATGTTATTCTATACAGGTTACTTAGAGCGTAACATATTTGAAATCCTTGTCAATGCTGTCCCAGAGAGATGATTTGTTTCATTCAGCAAACCCTACTTTATCGTTTTGGGTCTCATTCACCATGATTTCTTTGCCCCAGGCTCTTAAACATTATGAGTTAACAATCTTGCTCTTGATTGGTCTTTTAATTTTCTTTTAGCATCTAAACAATGATTGTTTTAACAGGAACTGTGACAAACCTCGGTTAATTGAAGCCCTAAAAACCAAGCGCATCCGTGACATTGCCTGTGGCAGCTCTCACAGTGCGGCAATCACCTCCAGTGGGGAGCTATACAGCTGGGGTTTGGGGGAATACGGACGCCTTGGACACGGCGACAACACCACCCAGCTGAGACCTAAACTGGTATGTATCTCTTTACTGCTGGTTAACAGAGTTGGGCAGGGAAGTAAGTTAAGTTGAGGGACATGAGCATTGAATGTGTAATTTTTACAGCTGTTGCACTAACATCAGTAGGTATTTGCACTCAGTGAGTGTTTTGTATGTAGGAATTAAGTTTTTATGTTTCTCCTGCTATAAATTCATGTATACTAGGAGGTGTCTAAATTGACCATGCACTCCTGGTTGCTCTTTCTTTATCATCTAGGTTAAAGTGCTTCTCGGACATCGTGTGATCCAGGTGGCTTGTGGGAGCAGGGATGCCCAAACTCTAGCTCTTACTGATGAAGGTATTTTTGTTGATGCACTTAAAGATATCATGTGCAGTCAGGGTTTTAAAGAGCCCCAGTGTTGCTCGTATCTCATGTTGTAAAATCATCTCCACAAGAATCCATCAGAAGTCATAATGCTCCAATGTTGGAATAATTAAAGAGAAAAGGTCACAAAGGAAATGTTAACTTAAATGTTAACTTAAATACTACCTAGAATTCCGTTTTCTCTTGACATGGACGTATGTGTTTCAGGTTCAGGTTAGTAATGTATGTTTTTATCTGTCAGGGTTGGTGTTCTCCTGGGGTGATGGGGACTTTGGAAAGCTCGGTCGCGGAGGCAGCGAGGGCTGCAACATCCCACAGAACATAGAGAGGCTGAACGGACAGGGCGTCTGCCAAATAGAATGTGGAGCTCAGTTCTCCCTGGCTCTCACCAAATCTGGAGTGGTGTGGACCTGGTAAGATGGATGAATGATATATGTACATGATCAATCATTATCTGCTCTTTGGCTTTCATGTGACTGTTTACTGTTCGTGTTCTCTATCAGGGGAAAAGGCGACTATTTCCGATTGGGCCACGGCACAGACGTCCATGTACGGAAGCCCCAGATGGTGGAAGGACTGAGAGGCAAAAAGATTGTCCATGTTGCTGTTGGAGCACTGCATTGCCTCGCTGTCACAGAAACAGGACAGGTTTGTATTGACCTCCACTAACTCCAGTGTTATAACAGCACATCATTCTGCTCATTTACAGTCACTGCACTGGTCCAGCTGTGTGTTTGAGTTTATAAATCTACTCTCACTCTACTTCTCAGACACCTCTGACCTTTGCAGTAATACAGCTTATTTCACCTTCCCTCAGAAGCATTTCTGATGATGAGATGAGAGCTATTCCATGTTTTAAACAATTTTCGAGGCTGAGCAAAATTGTGTACTTGGAGCAATGCCTGCTATATTTTGTTTGTGTGTCGCTTCTGTCATCCCGATCTGCTTTCCCACACTGTTCACCAATGTATTTAAAGCTATGGAATATCAATCAGATTTCATATTTTAAAACAGCATCACAAAGTCCTTGTTTAACTCTAACATGTTTTACAACTCTGAGCAAAATGAAACACATGTAATGAATTCTGTGTCTCTGTCAGGTGTATGCATGGGGTGACAATGATCATGGGCAGCAGGGGAACGGCACCACTACAGTCAACAGGAAGCCCACCCTGGTTCAGGGTCTAGAGGGACAGAAGATCACCCGAGTGGCCTGTGGCTCCTCCCACAGTGTGGCCTGGACAACGGTAGACGTGACTACACCCTCTGTTCACGAGCCTGTGCTTTTCCAGACGGCCAGAGACTCCCTTGGAGCTTCCTATTTAGGTAATCCTCCCCCCTTTGCCTCTTAACACTAACCTGCTGCCCAGACTTTGTTAGTCTGGAATCTAATGATTGTTTTTCTAGATGTGAACTCCCTCTTGGAACTGTAAGTCCCATATTTTTAGTGATAGCTGTTTAGTCATTGGGTGGTTTAACCCTCAATTTGCATTTGACGATCTTAGGATGTTGCACCACATTGTGTTACATTTTATTATTATTATCTGCATATTTAAGCACTTTCCAGGCACCATCATTGTCTGTGCTTGACACTCTAGCAACTAACTTTTCTTATTATTT